ATAAAAAAGCACCTGAACAGATCCAAAATGAATTCTTTCTGCCATGATCAAACACTTTGCATGCCTTATATAAGCATAAAATTTGAGGTAAAGAAAATGAAATTCATGTATTCTGAATGAGAGAATCTCAATTTATACCATTTTTTTCCCCCAGATTATGCAAAAATCAAAGAACAGGGCCATTCATGTGTATATTTTTAATGATGGGTCTCAGAATGACAAAGAAATTGAAGTGTTGGATCAGTCAACAGTTCAAACGTTTAAGCACAGTGGTTTGTAAATTCATCACTGGGGTGACTCCACTGAAAAACTAGTTTATATCAGAAACAAATTTATTGCAGTAACTGATTCGGTTTCCAGTACCACCTGTCTCTATCTCTCTGTGTTTTTTTTAATAACAGCTCTTAATCTCTACTGTTCACTAATAAAAATATTTTAATAAGAGATTATACTGTAATCCAAATGCCTATAGGTACTTGAATCAACTGCCTCTGCCTATGTAATTGCTAACACTTTGCTCAACCCTTTTTAAAATTGCTATTAAATCTCATTCTCATTTTCTGTATTAATAGAACAAGAATTCATTTTTAGTGTACCCTCAAAGCAGTAATGAGCATTGTTAACATGTAACAACAATGCCCAAGGGGAAAGTTTTCAAAGCCGGTCTAACCTTAAGCCTTTTCTATTGATGTACTACAGAGTCATCAAGCCAAGAGCTGTTAGAGCTAGTGCATTTGGAGAGTTCAGCTGAATATTTCTGCTTAATATATTGGAAGAATTATAAATGGTTTAGGTGGTGACCTACGGAGAAGGGGGGAATTTTTGTTTAATAGCTTAAGAACAGAGGGGCAACATTAAAAAAATAACTATACCTCCTGCTCATTTTAAAGTGTATCACATTGTTCTTTTGTTCTGATGATTTTGCTTCCATACAGATTTTCATAAGAGGTTAATGAGAAAACATTAACAAGTCATGCAATATTGCACATGGGCAGGGGAGCTGAAACATAGTTATTTAGTTATAAACAAACAATAGATGTTACTTTTTAATTGCTTTTTCAGAAGCCCAATTCTGCCTTCTTGAAAGAGATATTATCTATCTTATTAAATTCATAATATTATCCTTATTTTATTTATTATGTATAGCAAAAATAAGCTTGGCTAAAGCAGTAGTGCTTCACTGATGCCTTGGTCACAGTAAACCAGTCAATACCCTATAGATTGAAAATCCTGTGTGACTTGTAGTGCAGCAAAATTACCTCCTTGAGTGCAAGAATTTGAGATCGAGCCTTTAGGTTAGCTGAATGTAGCGGTAATGGCTTCAGGAGTCTCTGTTAGGGGTATAAATTAAGAAGCTCAAGAATAGTGTATTACAGCAGTGATACAGAATAACATAATTTTCATTGCACTTTTTGAGGTCTTGGTTTTATTACTGTAAAAAGTGTAAGGGTGCTTTTTAGGTGATGGCTGAATGTTTCAACAGACACAGAATCATGCACTGTTCTAAATCTGAAACTCTTGGGGAAGCAGGGGTAGAAATGTTCTTTTGTTGGAGTTCAGTTTGTCTATGAAATGAATTCATAAATTGTTGTCATTTAGCTGTCTTGATTCATTGCACTTGGTCACACCATTGCCCTTTCCTTGGGTATAAGCTAAAGGTCATCATGTCCTAAAACAACTAAATATGAACAGACAAGTTCAATAATGTCAAAGCTCAAAAATATTGACAGTCTAAGAAATGTGCTGCGTGTTGTATATTTCTGTCCATTTTTTTTAAATGGGGTGAGATGGGGAATACAGGAGCCATCTTCCTGGTTAAAAAGGATTCAGACCTGTGCAATTTCATAAGCTACAAGTTTTTCATTTTAGAGCTGAGCCTGATGTTTGTCAGTAGAATAGTGGGTTTGTGCTGCAGAAATTGACTTCTTAAGAGGGTACTCTAACAAGGGACCTCTTATAAAATTTTACTTAATGTTTGTTTTTAATTCTCAGAATGAGTTAGATAGAGGTGAGATGTTGAATCTGATAACAGGAGGACAGAAGTTTGTACAAAGCATGAATGAAGGCTTTATAGGTTTTCTTCCACCTCTCCTTCCAGATTACTCCATGCTATGCTGTGTGCTTCACTCTCTTGAGGTATATCTGTCCCTGAACTGAGAATAAGGCTTGCATTTGAAATTCCATATATTTAATTTATCACCTAAAAATATGGCCTTCTCCTGGGCTGTTGCTTAGGGAAATTAATTCCCCATGCTTATTTAGTCATTTTCTGCTTTGCACGCATCGTCAAAAAGTTTGTTAATGACAGTATGTAAGGAGGAACCACAGTTTCCAACTCATTTCTCAGTGACCACTGAACAGGTGTAAGAGTACAGATTCGTGGGCACCATGTTGTGCATGTATTTCATATAGTTTAGTTCTTGTGATTTACTCTTTGGGCCTCAACAGAAGATTGAGAGCTGTGTTTGAGGTAGAGGTTTCCCTCTCTTTTCAGAGTAAGGATTCTGTTTGGAAAGTCTTCCCCAGAGGCTCACAGAAATTTCCAGGGGGCTCAGTCCTCAACAGGCCGGTCCCTGTATGGTCTGTCAATAATCTCCAGTTTGTTCAGGACTGCTAAGTGTACAAACTGACTATTTTATTTTTACCTCTACTTGTGGACTAGACATACTCTCTAATATCTAATCTATAGATTAGCAGCAAGCTTGAACCTTTCCTGCTCAATAGCTGTTTGACTTTCTTTTGTCTTTTTCCCATAGATGCCTCAATTTGTTTTGTCATTTTGTTCAATAGGGAACAAAGGAAAAGGAAAAACTTGCCCTAGATCTGCTCTGTCTTCACCAGAGTCCAATTATGTTTGAGCTGTTTCCCAGTCATGTATCCTATTTCTTAAACAACTGTTGCCCTTCTGATATATTAATTCATACATAAAGTTCACTTGGTTTTCCTTGAACTGCCTGTTATAGTTCTCTAGTTGACACAGACCCTTGTTCTTTTCTCCCTGCTGGATTTAGTCTTCCTTTGAAAGAATGAATGGATATGAACTTCAACTGATAAATACATGCATTTGAATCTGTGACTGATTTGTGGATGGGTTGTTTTTGATGACTTTTATCTGTGGTTGATTTGCATCTATTTGGCTCAGACTCACTGGGGGTAACGCATAGAATAAATGAATAAACAAATTTGAGGTAGAGGCAAGGAGAGAATGGATGAATGAATGGATGATAGAGAAAGCGAGGGAGGCGAAACAGAAAGGGGTGGATAAATGGTGATTAAGAAGTACAGAAAAATAAGGAGCAAGCAGTGCTCAAAGTAGAGAAAAGAAATAAAAAGGATTCAAAACTGAAAAGAATAGGAAGTATGAGAATACTAGAAAGAGTAAAAAAGAAATTAGTAAGAACTTGGTGCCTGATTACACCTAGAAGAACAGAAATTAGTTAATTAAGTGAAAGGGTTAGGATTGTGCACCAGTGAAGGGTTTGCATAGGGAACCACAGGACAATGTCCAGGGTTGTCCAAGACTCAGAGCAGTAAATCTTGCCCATTTGATCAAGTTAAGCATTTGCTACAGGGCTTACGTACTCTGAACTCACATTAGCAGGTGTCTCTCTACCTTTTGCACAGCTCAGCATGGAATACTCCTGCAATGAATTTTCATTTTCCTTTCCTCTTTCAGATTTGCTTGTTTGGGTTAGCATTTCTTTGTGCCTTCCAATCTGAGCTTTGTTCATTCATCAACATATACAATTAACTGAAAAACAACAGCAAAACAACTAAGTACGACTAGCAACTTCTTAGACTAGTCATATTGAAAATTTCTTGTTTTTTCACATCCAATTCCATCCTCCTGCATGTTATCCCTTGTCACGTTGCATCTGAGAAGCTCTGTTAGCAGCTGCAGGCACAGAGCACCAGCATTCAGTGTTACACATTACACATGTACTGCACAGCACAAATAATACATAGCATGAGCCTTTGAAACTGATACTGTGACCAAGGAGGGAAAGCCTTTGTTACTACATTACCTGCTTTCTTGGGCATCTGACTTCTATTTGTCTTCACCTGAATTCCTCTCTCTTCACAAAGCAGCAACAATTGCTGCTTCTCCTGCCCACCATGTTTATTTTCTCCACTTTTTATTTGGAGGTCACGGGAGCTTCCAGGCACGGCCAGTTTGCCTGTTTTCTCTCTGCTTTTGAACCTCATCCTCTGTCCATAAACTCTTACTGTAGTGCTTAACTTTAAACAGATGACTGTGATTATAAGTATTCTCATGTTAATAATCAAATATGTGTTTAAAATGCCTTACTGGTTAAGTTTTGAGAAGAGAAAAACATTCCCACTGTATATCTGCTTTGCATCTATAACAGAAGGGGTTCTTAGTCTTAATTGGAGCTTCTAGTTGCTGATGGACAGTACGTTACCATTGATATGTATATATTTATATTGACTGTAGTGGTTCCCCAGAACCCAACTGAGAGTTGACTCTCACAGTAAGTGCTAAACAAAATTTTAACAATCCCTGTCCCGAACACCTTACAGCCTGTGCAAACAAGGCAAACATAGCAAGTAAGATAAAGAAATGTAAAATGGTAGCCCACAGACCATCATATCAAACCTCATGTGAATTTCACAGCGTATTATTGGTAGAGATGCTGTTATGTCTAAGTCGTCTCAGGAAAGGAAAGATTGCCCAGTGGCTCAGGCAAACCATGAAGATTAGCTTTTGTTCCTTGTTTTGAATCCCTGGACACACAGGGAAGCTGGGACATTTCTCATGGTGATGTTTGTCATTCATCCCCTGAGGAATGAGTCACAGAAGTTGAGATGACAGTTCTTGTCTTGAAATATACCAGTTTGCTAAATAAAAAATACCCATCAGGAGGAAAAAAGATCATCTGCAGTAGGAGAAGTTTTGGGAAAATTACTTATTTACTGATGATGTCTCTCTCCTCTCTCTCACCCCCCACACCCCATTTTTTGTTTGTTTGTTTTTACAGCAGTTGTATGCTGCCCAACTTGCTGCGATGCAAGTGTCTCCAGGAGGCAAGATCCCTGGCATACCCCAGGGTAACCTTGGTGCTGCTGTATCCCCTACCAGCATCCACACAGACAAGAGCACAAACAGCCCTCCACCCAAGAGCAAGGTACTGTACCAGGCCGTGCAGCACTTTATTTCTGATAATGTGGGTACTTGCATGTGTTTTGTTTTTTTTTTTTTCTGAAGGGTATCTGCATGCCTCTCAGTTGCAGGCAGCTTTGTTCTCACGATGGCTTCCAAAAAGAGGAGGATATTCATAGTGCCGTTTTTCCACTGGGAGGACCCCAGCACAGTAATACCAAATAACCATTCCTACACGAAGTCAGTAACAGACAACACCTCGGCTGAGATCATGTGGGCACCCTTGCAGTGTTCTAGCTATCACACTGCTGTTTCTTCCATCTTCAGTAAGGGGTAGCAGCCTGAGGTGACCAGTCCCTATTCCAGCACACATCTGTCGTTTCCTTCCAGAACACTAAACCGAAGTCAGGGTAGCAGTGTGTCAACAAGAGATAGAAGAAAGTGATGGGGCATCCCATCTGTTGCTAGATCCTGTCCGGGCGTTCAGTGGGAGTTTGTGGAGGAGCATGTCTCCAAAGCAATGTCTGTTGTGTCAGAGAACACAACAGACATTAAACAACCTTAAAAGGGCTGGCATCTGTCCATCAAGCGATGGCCTCTGATGAGTGATCTTCGTCATAGCTGGGCAGTTAGGTCTGTACTCACTTAAGAGGTCAAGTTTAGCAGCTTGTAAGTCACATCTGTATAATGCCGCCAATGTGTGAACTAGGTATACCTAGAAAAAAGACACAGAATATGTCCAGTGGAAGATGATGAGCTCAGCGTATGTCACATCTGAGCAAAAGTAACAGGTCAAAATTGAACGGCACGTCTTATGTGTTGCAGAACAACTAGGAACAATTTGGCTAAGAAACATAGGAAAAAAGCAGTCCCATTTAGGTGACAGCAAGAGCCTGATAAAAATGTGTTCTTTGTTTTTGTTACTGTCCTCTAGCATGCTGTCCATGTCCTTTATCATGTCAGAAAAGATTCCTTGAATTGACAGTAGCACCTTGTTTTTACCCTAACAGTAAAACAGCACAGATTAAAAATAACCAGACAAATAAATAATACCATTATCAGCTCAATGCGATACATGTTCAAAGAGTAAAATAGATGGTGAGGAACCAGTACCTGTTGTGTTAATGAATCAAGCTCTGGATCTACGTTTTCCTTCTTCTCTCCCCAGTGTAGACTTTCTGACTTCCTGAAGTTTATCCTTGTCATGGCCTCTTCTTTTATACACTGTAGAGCAAGGAATCACAAAGCCATGCAGTGCTCCATGATAGTTTTGGGGTTTTTTTCAAAAAAAATCATGTCTATGGTTAACAAGAGATTTTTGTGCATTTTACAAGGGGTGTTTTGTGTGTGGGTAGTGGCTTGCAAGATCCACTACACTTAAAATCCCAGTGTTGTTTTTGGATCTATTGTGCACAGGCAGAATGTCTGATGAGATCTAAGGGCACATTGTGTTTATTTCGTGGCAATTGTGGAATTAGAAGGTCTGCCATATCTACCGGTAACATCAAGCATAACAGTCTTACTGTCAAGATAGGCTCTGTTCTCCCTTGTGTTGTATTGTTTTTTCATATTTGTAGGTGTTCCATCGCCTTTAGCTTGCAGTTTTGTAGGACACAAACAAAACTTATTTGCAAATTGGAAAAAAAAAAAAAAAAAAAAAAAAAGTGGGCCAAAAGCAAGGGAAGGGGACTCCAAAAGGCTGTAAAATTGTGCAGCATGAGCCCTGTGATGCATGCTGTTTTCAATCTGCTGCGTGCCAGTTGGAGGCTCAGAGAGAGAGCGAGAGAAAGAGAAGGGATAATGCTGAGAAATGATAGAGTGGCTGTGACCTCCAAGCTCAGCCTGGAAATCCAAGACATTGATTTCACTTAGCATTCCTGCTGAGAAATCCGGCGGAGTTCAGTTGTAATAAAAGAACAAGATTCTGTTCTAATGGTAATGGCGTATGACAGACATATCACTTTGTCTGTCCTCAGCACCAGAGAGAGGAGAATTGGAGAAAGGTCACCTGACCTGCCTGTGGTGTTGTGCGAATGCTATACTGAGCTTTGAACTCCAGCCTGGAAGCACAATTATTTATAATACTAAATGATAAAGAAACCTTTATAGAGCCTACAGTAATTAGAATAAAGCTTATACAATAGTGCAGTGGCCTGGCTCAGAAAACACGCTGGCAAATCCATCACAGTGGCAGAAACTGAAGCTTATGTGTTGAAACTAAACACCTTCGTTGTGTCTGTGCAGACCTTCCTTTGCTTTTTCAAAGCTTGTTTGTGTTCAAGAGCTCCAAAAGTTTATTGTGTTTGCTGATTATTTTTTTAAATTTATTTATTTTTTTTTAGCTGTTGGCAGGGAGTATCTGTCTGAGTTTCACAGCCATTTTTTAATATTTTTTTTTAAATCTCCAGCAGCAGCTTGGTTCTTGAAGTTAGTTCATGGTGGTCTTTTTCACTGTCACAGTACGTCAAACCTCCACAGATGAACAGTTAATGCCTTAGACAAGCTTTCAATAGATGCTGTTTGCTGAATCTCTATTTTCAGCCCACAGTTTACACTGGCGCAGCTTTGGTAATACGCTCAAGTGTTTGGAGACAAGGAGACAGCCTTACCTGAGAGTGTGTCAAGCTACTGGCAAACATCTAGGTCACTTCTGAAAAGCTGTGTTTTTTTCCCTGTTGTATAGCGTTAAAGTTAGTGTGCTGCTCTTTGCAAGGATTCTTCAAAGTCGGCCTCAGCAGCAGATGGAACAACTGTTGGCTCTAGAAATGCTGAGAAGCATCAGGGGGAGTTTGCCAAGGATCATCCTTTAAATCTAGTAAGACTTGAACACATCCCTGAAACTCCTCTAAGACCTTGGCAACTCCAGTTTTGGCAAACCTTTTATCAGTGGCCCTCACCAGTGTTTGAACATTGTACTGGGCAGACTACCCTGGCATATTCTGTTGTCTCACTCGCCTTTCAACAGATGTGACCTGGAATAGTCAAATTCACTTCCTAGGTTTCTGTACTGTAACTTTTAGGAAGACATGAAGTAGAGATGCCATTATGCTGTGCTGCACACATTCTGTCAAGTTTTGGTTAGGAAACTGAGCTGGTGTCGTACATTCTTCCAAGAAGAAATCTGTGCCAGAAAAATTGATTTAAGAAACAGAGCTAGTGGAGCCTGTCCAAAAGAAAATGCGTGTGTCTTGCGGAAATGGATTTTAACACAGCTTCTTCTTGAGCAGTTTTAAAAACAGCCGGTATGCTAATCATACCATTCAAATTTACCAAGGCCTCCTCCACAATCCATTTGAAAGGCAACTATCTTTGAAGTTTGCCAAATTGTGCTGGATTTCCAAAGTCTGTCTTAAGCACATTTTGCCTTTGATCGTGTAAATGCTTGCATGCTGCTCTGTTGGGTGTTCAAGGTGGTTACATGCTCCCAAGTAAGTAGGAGAGAGCAGGCGCAGGTGCAGATAAGAGCTAGGCAGAATAACCTACCGGTCCATCTTGTGATTGACATCAAGCCTCTTGCTTGCACAGGGCCATGCAGGATATAAAAAAAAGTAATGTTATAGAGAGTATGTTAATCTGAACAGTGACCTTTACCATGCTACGGGGTTCTTACCTGATAGCTGTGATCTCTACTGACTTCAGATGAAGTGCATTATACTCTTGAGTAAGGACAGCAACATCACCCTCACTTGTAAACAGCCAGGATCCTGTTCATTCCTGCCTTTGTTCCTTGCTTTTTATGTTTCTTGTATAAATATAGTGTCTAGTGCCTGCATGATGCAATATCCTAGCCCTTCCCATGTAACCTTTCAAGTACAGTAATTCTGGAGCGAATTTTCAATGTAGCTTGTAAACGTAGGTAAATGATTCCCCGTATTTAGTGGAGCACAGTGCATTGTCTGTAGCATCTGCTGAAAAACAGGAGCAATTCAGTGTGAAATGTGACAGGAGAGAATTCCTGGGCACTTCTCTTTTAACCTGGTTATGACCTCAGCCCTAACCCTACTCACAGTTGTGCCTCCATCAATGGCAACAGCACACAGATTGTCCAAATCAATTTTTTTGTTCTTTTCAAATACTTCTGGCAGTGATGTTACTATTTGCTCAGCAGTAGCACCTGGGAGTTGTGACAAGGAAAGGAAATGTGTTTCAGACAAGCCAGAAACAGCACTAAGCAGTTGGATATACACAATCAGATTCTCCTCTACTGCAATATCCAGAAAAACATCAATGTGAATGCTTAACTGAAGATGGTACTTTATTTTCACGTTATCTGATCCTCTGATCACCAAAGTAAACACTGGATTGAAAATTTTTCATGTCATCTGTAGTCCGCAGTAGAATCGCCTTTGAAAGACTTAGAGCTTGCCTCTCTACCACAGCACAGATTGACCTTAAAATGGCCAGAGACTCCCCAGGGGAACTTCTTCCATTTTTGAGAAATATCTACTGATGATGCTACAGTTGCTGCCACATGCACCAGCTGTATCTTGCATTCTATTTATAGTATACGAAGGATAGAAAGGGACCAACAGTGTGCTCACCCAGGCAAGGTAAGCCTAGATATGAAACTACAACCAAGTCATTGTTGACTTTCTTACCAAGTACATCTGATACCAGGGACAAAATAAAGATGAAGAGTCTTTGGAAATGAGCATTTTAATTCAGACACACCACAGGCTATGTCACTAGGAAAAATAAGTAAACTCTTCACTATGAGGAACTGGCTGATGATTTTCCCATCCCAGTCAAAACTGATGATGGGACTATATTTCCCACTTTCAGTAGGGAAGATTTCTTGACTCAGGGTAAAAATAGGATGAAAAAAAAAGGAAAACATCTGAAAGGAAAGAAAAAGGAGAAGGCCCTAAAATGGCCTAGTTATAAGAACACTCATCTAGATGATATTTCTGATTCTACTTAGGACAAATTGTTGACTTGAACTTCGTTTTAGGTGACTACCCTAAGCAGTTATGTTAACTTGGGTATATTTGACTCCCTTTCCCTCATTTCTCTATTTTGTATGAT